TGGCTCCTTGCAGAGCCACCTTCTATCTGGGGTAACTTCACTGTCACCTGCGAGAACCCCTTCAGCAGCAGCTCTGTGGTGGCAAGCTCAGCTTGCATCTCTGAAAGTGCAACTATTTTCCGTTTAGTCTTTAAAAGATTTTACTGGTCCTGAAATTTTTGCTTAGTAATTAATTTTTCTTTCTACACCTTGAAAATATCGCCCTAGAATGTTCTGGCTTTCCTTGTAACGAGCAGAGGTCAGCTGTCATTCTAGCTGTGAACACAGAGATTCACCCTTAATATCTTTTCCCCTGCTATTCTGCGGTGCCTCACTCCTTACGGGTTGAACTCAGGGATCCTCCATCATTGAGTGGCATCTCTAGCCCTTTTTATTTTTTTATTTTGAGACAGGGTCTCACTAAATTGCTGAGAGCCTCACTAAGTAGTTGAGGCTGGCCTTGTTCGCAATCCTCCTGTCTCAGCCTCCCAAACTTCTGGGATTAACGGCGTGTGCCACCATGCCCAGCCGGACTCTTTAGTTCTGAACCTACTTATAGTCCACTGTACTTCTTGATTATGAGTCCTGACCACCAGCCCTTAGAACACAATCTTTGCCCGGTTTCCCGTCTGCCCACTTCTGCTGTGTTGATTAAAAACATGTAGGACACCCTGGCTCTGCTTCACAGAGCTCTTTGCCCCTCCGATTTCTGACCTCGTCCTCTCTGGGCTGCCTTCTAGATATTTCTTCTACCTGTTTTACAGCCTGCTGATTTTGTCTGTTGCTGTGGCTAATCTGCTGGTGGAGACGTTCTTCAATTTTGATTTACATTTTGATGATTATCATTTTCATTTCCAGAATTCCATGAGGTTGGGTGAATAAGCCTATTCTACGGATTCCTTCTCCACTGGAAATTTCTCATCTTACTTTCTGTTCCTCAGCCTTGGTTGCACGACTGCCTGTGTGTCGGACCCCCACGTCCCGGGGTCTGCTGTGCACCCTTCTCCCTTGCTCCCCTCCCCACTTCACCCCCTCTTTTCCTTTTTTTTTCTGATTTGCACCTACAATGCCTTCTTTTCTATGTCATGATTGTCTTCACATCCTCAGTCAAGGAGCCGACCACACTTCCCAGTAGTGCGGGGTCATGCCCCCCCGTCTGCCTCTGCCCAGCCCAGCATAAGAGGGCAGTGTGGGAAAGGCGAGCTGGAAGGGAGGCGGGAGGGCAGGCAGCAGGTGACTTCTGCAGTTGTCTGAGCCTGGGTCTCAGGGACCGCCTGCTCCCTGCAGACTCCACTTAGACTGGAGATGATGGACAGCAGGTCCATGCAGAAGGGCTGAGGTGTGGAACCCAACGCAAAGGCACACCCTGAAGCAGAAGTCGGACGTACCAAGTCCCAGAGCAGAAAAGGGCTGAGCATGCTGTGTGCCCCTCCGTGGGGCCAGGACTTCAAGTGTCCTCTTAGAGACCGCAGGGCAGGAAGTCTCCATGGACATGAGGTTCCTTCTGAGCACTGCTCCAGGGCTGGGAGCTCTTTCATATCTGGAGTCCCTGTCCCTACAGTCACCTGTCGTGCAGACCCGCACTCCACACATGGCTGGACTGTGGTAAAGCCTTCAGATGCAGACTTCAGACAGCCCAGAGGTCCTCTCTTGCCAAAAGCCCACACCAACAGATATCCCCGTGAATACCAGAAGCCTGGGCAGAGGGGTGATGCAAAAGAGGTGGCAGCTGAAGAGGGATGCTAGTCAGCACTGGCCTCTGCCCATCTATACAACCCTGACTGCCCACCTACACAGCCCTGGCCTGTGATGTGGCATCACACCCTGGGGAGATCAGTTGGACATCTGGTGGCAAACTGGCTCTAGCAGACCCCTCCTATCATGAAGGGGTAGTGCCTTGTCCTCACCAGAATAAACCCCTTTCCTTCCTGGTCCACTGAGTTGCCACCAGTAAGGTCACCTGGAGATTTCTGAGTACCCTGTTCACTTTACACTATACCATCCACTCTTCTTCTTCTTCTTTTAGTTGCTGATGGGCCTTTATTTATTTACAGGTGGTGCTGAGAATCGCACCCAGTGCCTCACACACATGCCAGGCCAGTGCTCTACCACTGACCTACAATCCCAGCCCCCATCCACACTGCTTCTGATCAAAGAACCAGGGAAGTGTGCTGAGGGCCATTGCCAAGTAGGAATGACGCATCGAAATCCTTGCCAGAGTACCCCATGTTAAATGGACTTGCCTTGGAAATTCGCTGTGACCTTGCATGTGTGTTTGAGAAAGGTGACCCTGCTCAAGGACGAGGGTGGATCCAGGTTTAAGGTGTATCCTGCAGGTTTGAGGAAGTATCCCGCTCCTTGGGTTTAGGGCGTTCCCGGTTTAAGACAAGTTTAGGACCTTCCGGTTTAAGACAATAGGGGTTTTAGGGAAGTTGGAGGTTGAAGATTATTGCTGCTGGGATTAGGGTGTTCCTGCTGCTTGTTCCTGTTGAGTTCTCGTGAGATTAAAATGGGATTTGAAAAAGCCTGGAGGAGTAGGTGAATTGGGCGGCAGATTTTGGATTTCCCCTGAGCGTGTGTGGAGGCTGGTGTGAGATCGGGAATAAAGAATTGCTGTTTGAACCTACAAAGCTGTGTGGTGGCTCTGTAAGGGTCTGGCGAAACGTCGGAGGGAGAGACCACCCAAGAGACTGACTCCATGCAATTGGCAAAAGGGGATATTTATTGGGGATCCATTCCAGCACGCTGGGACTCTGTGCTCACTCAAGGAGGGAGAGCAGCCCAGAGCCAAGGTCAAGCAAAGCTTAAGTACACTTTTTGGAGGGGGCCGTGGGCTTTGCATACATCAGAACAAACCATCATGAGGCGCGGGGAAATTGAACAACAACTCTGAGACGTGATTGGCACATTCATTGTCGGGAACAGTTCGGGCGGGGGTGATTGGTCATTCCTAAGCGGGCTACACATTCAAACTGATTGGTTCGGGCCCGGTGGTACACATTCAGGGCCCTAGGCTAAATGGCCAGTAGGGCGTTGTTTTAACTATCTCAGGAATCTGGGTGTAACAGAGGAACTTAATAATACCTGATCTTTTACATTCAAGCTTTCCAGCTTAGAAACTTTACCCTTTCAGCTGGTGATCTTGTGCCAAGCCGAGACATTGGCAGAAGTGAGGCATGGCTGATGTCTGAGGGATTGACAAATATCTTTATCACACAGCTTTGGAATGGCTTGTTTAAAGATCCCCTGGATCATTGGGTCTGGTGGTGCACACCTGTCATCCCAGCAAGTTGGGAGGCTAAGGTAGAGGATCACAAGTTCAAAGCCAGCATCAACAACTTAGTGAGGCCCTGCACAACTTAGCAAAATAAAAAATAAAAAAAGCTGGGGATGTGGCTCAGTGGTTAAGTGTCCCTGGGTTCAATTCCCCATACCCCCAAAACAAAAAACAAAAATAAAACCCATGGGTCACTCGTGGGGAGAGCAGCCCCCTGCAAGGCTGAGGTTTGGTTCTGGGATGCCCCCTCAGCAGTCCTTAAGTGGTTCTGGCTTCTTTTAGCCGGAATGCATAGGTCCGGGGGCTGGTGGAGAGACAGCCCTGGCAGTCACACTGGAGGGTGCACTTCCAGGAACGTCTGCTCTCCAAGCCCAGACCTTTGGCCTCTGCAGATCTGCAATCTTGGCATCCAGGGAAGGTGCCGTCTGCTGAGGAGCTGCGACTTAGTGTGCAGGTGTGACGTCGCATACCCCTGCTGTGCGCATCTAGCCCCTCCAGCAGCCCACGCTCTCCTGGTGTGACTGCAACGTGAAGAAGCCACTTGATGGGAAGACCCAGCCAACCCAGTGGGAAGGGGAAGGACGAAACTGTGGGTCTGAACTGGGAATGCTGCTGGCCGGCCGCAGCCGCGCTCCCCAGCCGGGCGGGGAAGGCAGGCTGCCTTTGGAGATGGGAAGCCAAGAGTTAATGGTTGGAGCACACACGTGCGACTCTCCCGTGCTGCTCATGGCCGCTCTGTGCAGCACGAAATGAGGGTGAGTAATTCCTGCCGCGGAGAAGTCCCTGGTAAGCCTGTGGACCTGGGTGGCGGGCAGCGTCCCGTTTAACCGCTGGCTTCCACCTCCCCACCCCTCTCTGCAGACTTGTCTGCAGTCGCCAGGGTTATTTTCAGGAGCTCTGATGCTTGTTTTAATAGTCCCCAAATCTAGTTCTCAAAAGAATAAGACTAGCGAACCCGGGAGGTCAGGGTGGGTGTCGCCGAGCCCGCGCGCCCGGCGGAGCGGCCCGTGAGCGGCAGTGCCGGGAGGGCCGGGTTTCGGGGCGCCTGCCCGCGGT